AATTGGGCCCCATGCCCCCCTGGTGGGTGACTCACAAGCTGAAGATTTGTTAAGTCGCAGAGGCCCTCCCACAGGAGTGAGAGCGCTAAGCCCCACATCAGGCTCCCCAGCTCGGGTCCCGGCATTGGGAAGAGGAGGAGACCCCAGGACATCTGGTTTTGAAGGCCAGAGGGGCTTGGCTCTGGGAGCCTCAGGGGACTGGGGGAAACGGAGTCTCCATTCGCTTGAGAAGCATACACCGAAACTCATATGCACCAGGTCCAAGGGCAGAGGCAGTGATTTCATAGGAACCTGAGCCAGACCTGCCTGCTGGATTTGGAGGGTCTCCTGGGAACGTGGGGGACAGCTGCAGCTCACTCAGGGGACATAAAAGCTGGTGGCGGACATTCCGGGAGTGTTCATCTACATGAGCTTTCCTGGAGGCTGACATCTTAATTGGATCATTAGCACCAAGACCCAGCCCCACCCAACAGCCTGTAGGGAAGCCTCAGGTCAAACAACATGCAGGGTGGGAACACAGCCCAACCCATCATCAGACTTCCTGAGCCACAAAGGCCTCTAGACACAGCCCTACACACCAGAGGTCCAGGACCAAGCTTCACCCAGATGAATCCAAACATAATATTATTCTACTCTGAACAGAGAACCTCCTAGAGTGATTATATTAGTGTAGGACAAGTAAAGTACATATAAAGAACAAGGTGTCTGCAAAGAAGTACCCTGGTGCTTAATACCTCACTCTTCATCTGAGATATGCCTAAAAAGATCTGGACTCAAGATTTTAAGAAGTAATAGTTATATTTCATGACAAATTTTGAAGCATAATCAATTTAGGATTCTACAAAATTCAACATCTGCAAAACATTATGTAGGTAAGTATATATACATTATCTCTAGTTAATTGGAATGATGGTCTTCATCTTCATATAGATTCATGAATTTATGAATAATTTTCTCAAAAGAATTTGAGATGTGTTTTATAAGGTAATAATAATAATTATGCTATTATAAATGGCTCTTCACAAACCCCTTTAGATGTTTCAATAAATAAGTGAGTGTTCTATTTTCATTTCGTACATAAGAGAAATGAGCTAATAACACAGGGTAGTGATTCTCTACGGACCAATGACTGGCACTGCTCAACGAGTCTTAATGAATCAGGGTAAATGCCGGATCCAGGAAGAATCTAGAAGGAACAGGTTCCCCAAACCAGACATTCTCTACCCAAAAACATTTATGAATACTCTCTCTCTCTGAAGACATGAGAGCACAGGGCTAGGAGTGGCACTGGTCCTCGATATTCATGATGCTTTTTGTCTGTTCCTCACTTCATATTAACACGAACGTGAAAGCATGTGAAAGTAAAGTGATCTAGGGATTTCATGCTTTAGTGTGACCTGAATCATAAGTCCTAGAAGACCCTAATTGTGGTATCTGCCAGGGGTGTGCCCAGGCCGACCTCTGAGTTTCCATATGTTGATAACCCTGTTGCCTCTCTTCTTTTTACTTTCAACCCCCTGGGTTTAAAACTATGACTGTTTATGTGGGATGGCATATTGATTTCCTTGGAGGGAAACCATCATGTAATTCCAATAAATCAAAAATGAATACATAAAACTTAGGAGTTCTTCATTTAGGTAATTAATAGAAGAGTCATAATTAAAAACAAACTCCAAATATCACACTCAAATATAGCACACTACTGAAGTGTTTTCTTAATGACAATTTGAAAATAGCAATTAGAAACACAGTATACTTTATGTAATGAGTATTGCTTATCACACAGTATACTTACCAATATTTCTCATCTGTTTCTGGCATGTAAGAAGTTCCATATAATAAATGTTAAAAAAAATAGTAAATTTAATCTGTCAATTGAAAAATTAGTAAAAAGCAAGATAATCTTGGAAAAATGTATGTTTTTATGTCTCTACGTGTGTGTGTTATAGGATGCCATATATACAGACTATAACTTAAGGTTTTAAAACTAACTGTAAAGGACAATGATTATTTATGAAAAATTTCCCCTGTACCTGCTAGGATATATACTTAAACTTCTATGAACACAGTTAAGTTCTTCACCAGAAAACAATGTCTCAGGTATTAAAATCCATAATAATATAATGCTCCACAATTCTCATTGTCTATGGTTTCAATATATTACATTTTTATAAAGGAGTAAGTTACTTACAGAGGTATTTAGGGTAATAAACCTTAAAGCAGTTGATGATAAAGCGTACAAAGTCCATGTCCTAAAATAAAGATTATACATTTAAATCTTTCAGACTGTCCACATTAGAGAATTTTAAATTGCATATTTCTTAAGGTGATAAATTATTAAATACCAATGAGACAATTATCAAATTCTTAAAAAAAATTAAGCTCATAAAATATCGATATTCCCAGGGATTAGGTTTTAAATCATTAAGCTACTTACAATATTTAGTCCTAAAACTGAGTTAAAGAAATTAGATTCTTAAACATCATTCATGTTATCTCAAACTAGTTAGATACTTCAGGCTGCTAAAGTAATGTGGCATTACAACATGGATCTGAAAAGCAAATCCCAAAGAGAAATTCTAAAAATCTGTTGAGCAATTAAAGAATTAGTATAACAAGTATACAGTTTATTACCTGACTACTTGGAATTATAAAACATATGTATATAAATTCTGTTACGTCTGTTTTTTAAACCTAATTGCTACACCTCATAATAGCTTCAATAAAATATACTTTATTAATCTGATTATATTAATCTGCTGTATCTACTTCACTTCTGGCTTCCTTCCTCCTTATGTAGGAACCTAGATTTTGAATATTTTAGTTTATATTCAAATGTTGTTCACTGACTTCAATTTCTGGGAGACTTTATAGCTATCTGTTGGTTCTACTGCATTGAACACAGCAACATGAAATTAGATTATTAGAGTTACTATTCAATGGATCATTTCATTCTGTTTCCATTGGCCGCAGGTTGACTTACTAATCCTGATCAGCCATGTTATAAGGCCTGCAGGATGAAAGATACAACCAGGAAAACTTAAATCCATCAGTTACTAAAAGGTGAGTTGTCCGAGAGATGAAAGTGTATAAAGTTATACCTAGCATGTGAGTTGTAGCATCTTTAACTCCAGTAAACTGAAAGTAAGCATCCTTAATGATCTTAGGTATTTATTATGGGATAAATCCTAGTATATAATAATACCTTTGTAACTAATCACTGTGCACAGAGTTTAATAATTTGTAGTTAAGTTAGAGTCAAACAAAATATCTCCAAATAACTAGTTATATGAAGATTTGGTTACCTGGTATATGATCTGTGGCCCCTAGACTTTCCCTAAGAAGTCTTCATCCAATATTCTTGTTTTCATCTTTAACTGAATAACTTTGTTTATAAAATCCCAAGTTACTGCTCATTCAAGTCGATTTGACAGGATGCCACTGGTGTACATATATTAGTGGGTACTATGTAAAACAGTTTCAAGAAACCCACTGGTCTGCATTCTGTGAGGATGTTTTCAAGGATGCTATTCATTGTCTTATAAAATGTCTTCCTTTTGAAGACTCATGAAAGATTTTTCTTCTAGTTCAAGTATCAGGAATGGATACACTTTTCTTAAGACAATGGCTTTGAGTAATTTTATATGATTCCATTCCTTTCAGGCAAGCTTAAAGCCAAATTAGTGGCCCAACTCTAACAAATAATTAAAAAAAATTTTGCCATGCAATTCTGTATACAGCTTTAAAGGCCACCTTAAATCTTTTGTGAATTATGAGGGTCATATATAAAAATAATTCAGTAAAATTCTAGTATTTGAAAACATTAATGATTTAAACTCAATAATGAAAATAAACCTTATTTATAAATTAAAGATAATGAAACAGTATATAAGTAGGTTGAAAAATAATCAGACAGCTCAAGTAAATTCTTTGGCCCTATATTTGTCAATAAAAAACATTTTTTATGATTCTGGATTAATAATCAGAAAACTATCATACATAAAGGATAACAGAATCATGATTTACTTTCATGGAATATTTATTTATCTAGGCATTTTGATGTAGATTTTGGATATAAAACGATTACTATGTAATCTAGAACTCAGTGACATGGAAATCAAATTGAAAAAATAATCTAGGGCAAATGACTCTGATATATAGAAAGATAAAAAAAAATTTGTGGTCCCACTGCCTAAAAAAACTTGTTCTCTCAAGCCTATTTTTTCTTTGTTTTTTTAACGTCTAAGGTTTCCCTTTTTGGGGGCTAGGTATTTCTATGATATAATCCTGTTGCTTTTTCATTTTAAGAAAGGTATTTTCCAGTGTTACTACAAATTCTTTATAAACATCATTCTACACAGGTACACATACTGCATTAATGAGATACACCATAATTCACCACTTCACCATGTTGACATTTACATTTTTTCTAATTTTTCACCATTTTAAATGACACTCTGAAAAAAACATTTTGATGTACAATGCTTTTTGTGTACTCAAGTTTCCTTCTTTAGAATAGATTTCCAGAAGTTAGTTACCAAGCAAAGAATATAAATATGAACACTTCAAGGTTATTAACATACTTTGCCAAGTGGATTTTCAAAAAGATTTCAGCAGTGCCCCAGGGAGGTCCCTGAAGGGCAGCTGACTGCTACCAGAATTAGCCACGGTCTGAATGTCAGAGACAGTAGCTCTAACAAATGCACCAACAAATCCCCATCGCTGCTGAGAGGTTTGTAGTTACCACGAAGGTCACAAGGGCCCGAATTAAAGACTGGTAGGTTTTATTTGTTTTTTAATCTTGGCAAAATCTCCTGAAGAAAACTGGTTTCCAACGCTAACCAAATCAGACAGACAGAAAACAAATCCAAAAGAGCAAGTGAAAAACCCCAACAAAATCACCAAGCACTGCATATGCAAAAAACTCAAGTGAACTACTCGCCACGGCAAACGTGGCCTGCAAGCAGTGGTCCGCTAGAGAGCATACGTTACTTTACTCCACATTTACTGAGTGCGTTACTCTGTGCCAGGCCTGGGGAGGGTGCTCTATAGGATATGAGCTTTGATAGAAGAGTTCACTGTTACCACATCTCATTACTCTGCCAGCCTCGACATCTTCCTTCCATATCTTGCCTATCAGACAAAGAACGTTTCTAGGAAATCTACAGTTTCAGTGCCGAATACTGAAGCACATTTAATTCTTTGCAGATCCTATTCCATGTCTGACTTCACTCACAGTGCAGCAGAAAAAAAAATCTCAAACATGACTTGGCTAGCTTGGTTTTATAGCGATATTTGGTTGGGGGGGTGGGGTGGGGGTGGCAGGGAGGACGGGAGAGAGGGAGGACGCCGTGATAAACGATGATTTAGAATTAATGAAAAATGCTTACTATGCTATTTATTCCAGTCTCTGATAGGTCAAACATCACTGTCACAGGTTTCCCATTTTCTCTCTTAGCATAACGTTCCAACCAGAATGCAATAAGCTTCTTTTTGTCCAGTATGGTCTTATGGTCTTTTATATGATACTTCACCCTGATCCAGACTTTAAGCGGAACATAAGATAAAAATAAGAAAAATATTTATGGCATTATAATACCATTTTACACACGTATTATATTATTCCTTTTCCTTGACATTTTTCTTTATTTACAATTAATTTTGTTTCTCAGATTAAAAACATCCCCCCTTTTAAATGAGAAAGAGCGTATACGTAGGAACCCGAAAGAGGAGCAGAAAGGTCAACTATTTTCCTTCACTTAGAAAATAAACTTTCCTCTTTAATAAGTAAGGGGGAAAAGAAAATACAGATGAACAAACAGTATTTGGCAATAATCTAAAGGTACTCTACACAGTGCTTAACAAAAAAGAAAACACTAGAAAAGTGTTCCTTCCAGAGGGAAAGCCCCGACAGAAGCGCGCAGTGGCAGGAGCGGCTGCGGCGCCTGTGGGCGGACCACGGCGGCCGAGGCAGAACGGGGCGCGTGGAGAGGGACAGCTGAACAGAGGGGCACAGGCTGGGCCTGAAGGACTCTGAATCAAAGGCTAAGGTGTTCTGATGACTACACCTCAAACTCTTGAAAAGCCAGTACAATTAAATATACTTACACAACTTGTTCCCTTCTTTGTCATAACCGTGGAGATAAATGCCACCAATTTCCAATAACCACCTGGGAATGGAGGCTTCGGTCAGGTCTAAAAAGTGATAAGATTAATGAGTAATTATAACTTAGAGGTCTTTTAAAAAGAAAACTTAAAATGTAACGATTACTGTTACATAGTAGCTCTGATATTAAAAAAAATGACGCTTATTCAAATATCTGGAAAAAATCCTCTGGCAATAAAACATGGTGCTTCTTACTAAGTAGAAAAAAAAAACTACATAAAGACATAGATGAGAAAATTGAAAAAATCCATTTGCCTTTACGTGCCTGACATTATTATGTGGATGCATTTTCACGTTCTGGTTGTATTTCACATAATCACTTGCAATTAATAAATATTATCACTACTGGACCGTTTCAAAAGAACATGGCAGTATAATATCCACATTATAGCCTCAGAACTGATAGCTTCTCTAGTAAAATATTTTTCGACGAGGTTTGATAACCAGTAGAGTTTAATGTATTTTATAATCTTGGGGCAAGTGGAAAATACTTCAAGAAAAATGTTAGATCCTTTAGCAGGAGGTCCACTCACTAACGCGGCCAAGAACCAACACAAGGCAGCACTTCCCCGAGGACTCACAAAGATTTCTTTATCTTTCCCCACCCCTCTTTGTCATATCGCTGCTGTTTGCCACTAGAAACTAGCAAGTCTATGTAAGAAAAAACTATTACTGAGTTTAAAGCTTTATTCTGTACTTAAATGACTGAGAAATATCAGGTTTACATTTCTTTGTTTGATTAATAAATGCTTCACTGTTGAAATTACCAACAGTTTTTATGTTTCCAATCAAATTATTTTTTAAATACTCTCCCTTGGAGAGAATCCTTCTCCAAGTATGACGACTGGGGGGAATATCTTTTCTGGATATATTTGTTGGCTATTTTGTATTAAGTCTCTAGACTCGGTCACTCCAGAGTTTATAATCCTCAAGGTCAGGAAAGCCTTCGTATCTTGTCAAAACCAGTAGTTATGCCAGCTTCTTCCTGTTACGTTTTCAGGAGGACAGAGATAACGGGTAACCTTTCCTGAGAAGAGGTCTTCATTTACTTGGAAGATTATTACAAAATCCCCTCCAAGATTTAAAACTTTTTGGGGAGGAAATTTCAATCTAGAATGGGGCCTGGAAATCAAGAAGAGGAGGCTGCCATAGGCATCCTTGGAGGTAAGCTTGCTTTTGGGGACCCCCATTCACCTATTAGTTCCATACGGAGCACCTAGTAGCACAAGGAGCCCTGGGAATAGAGACAGGCACCGGGCCACAACTGAGAAAAACAGGCAAATAGTATCTCTTTATCTCTAGGCCTAGTAGTGCGGATGCTGTCTTGCTATTTTAATGGCACCAAACTGAACATGCACAGATTAGGAGACTCTGCTGTGAGTGACGAATGTTGAGTGTGGTTCAGCTCCTTGGTGATCTGGTTTCCTTATGAATGATCCTACTTTTACAACTTATTCATAAGATGCTCCTTTCAAAATGTTACTGGGTCTTTATAAAACATTATATTCTGGTGTTTATGATGATTGCCAAGAATATTTGCAAATACACTATTAGATAAACGTAGAACAGTAACATTTATGCAGGGGAAATAGTACACAGTCAAGGTGAAAGTGAGTAGCTTACCGTTGACAGACATTTCCTTTCTCCACTGAAAACTCTCATCAAGCATCTTCAGTGTTTCATCTACAACATTATGCCTCCAAAGTAAGTAACTTTCAACCCAGTTATCATCTTGTTGTAGTCTTTCAACATCACGTGGATCGTATTTATCTGACTTCTCTATGGGAAAAACAGTAATAAATATCCAAGTCAGCTAAATTCTGCAGTGAACGATAACCAACACTAATACAGTGGAGAAGAAAGACCCGGAAGAGAAAGCTAAGCTAGTTAAAGATAGACAGACACAGGGATGCAGTTCAGATGAAAATGCAACTTAGAGGATTGATGGAATTTCTAAGTGTGAGAAGAATAAAGTTATCTAAAAATTGCAGCTTTATTTTAAAACAAGCCACTATAGATTTAAAAAATAAGACCACAGTATAATATTTTGCAAACCCCCTCTCAAACTATAAACTAACATCTAGGAAGATCGGTTATGTTATCTGAACTTGAAATCCTTACCCTAGTCAATGAAAAATGAAATTTTATGTTTAAAGAAAGAACTAAGTTGTAGTTAAAAAGACATGTGTTTGGGAAGCGTCTTTTTAAAAAATGAATGTGAAATGAAATACAAAATGGAAAACTATGTATGCAGCATTTCCCATAGTTTATTGGAATAATTGTTGCCAATAATAACTTCTCATTATCCATCTACACACATGCTGTGTTCTCATCAACCTCTATATACCTGACATTCCTCCTTCCACACCCCACTCTATTTTTCTGTAACTGAACTTTCCTTGTCCCCTCACAACCACCTGCACATCTGAATTCTCCCATTCTGCAAGAGTCCTTCCAAATGCTTCCTCTTACTTCCTGTTCCCAGAAGTAAGTCTTTCCCTCCTGTGAAGAGCCACAGGACCTGAACGACACCTTTCTTAAGGCACTTAATACATTTCCCCTTGACTCAGAGTTATGGGCATGAATGCTGTATCTTTCCATTTAGAGATCATAACAGCACAGCTGTACATCCTAAGAACCCCCCAAAACAGATTACAGTAGTGCCAATTAAAAGGCATTTAGGAAACATTTGTTGATGAAATCTATTTCTTCTCTATTTTTATTTTCTTGGTTAGTTAGTACTCTCCCAGGGCCCCAAGGAAGAAACTTCAGAAAACTCCCTGGCTCCTTCATCTCCATTTTTTGTGCATCTACTTAGTTGCCAAGTTTTATAGATTCTGTCTTCCCTCCATTTGCTCTGCCTTATTTCAGGCCCTCAGAGGTAACAGCTGAAAGGGTAGGGAAGTATAAAGTACATTCACAGAATTATCTTCTTTGGGTCCCAATTTCCTTATCTTTCAACTGTTTTTTAGATGCTCACAGGGTTGTGTGAGGATCAGATAAAAACATATGTATGAAAGTACTTGAAAGTTTAAAGCACGATAAAATACAAGATAAGGCCAGAAGTCACGCATCTGTGGAGTGCTACCTTGGATATAACTTCCAGTATCTGGGCTGTATTTTTCCAATCTATACAATAAGTGGTTCTGTTGTAGGTAAACCTTGGAAAATGGTTTTTTTTAGCTCTGCTATTTGAAAATTCATCAGTATTCAAAGCACAACTTTTCTTTAATTATAACTTATAAACACAAGTTGGAAGAAAAGAATTTACACACTGTTTAGCAGCAAGAACGCCCCTGGGAGCATCTGCCCCAACCAGTCTGGCCACTGGACAGCCCTCTCCACTGGACCAATATGGTGTTTTCCTTCAAATTACTGACTTCATTTTCAAGAAAATTTCTGCCAAATACCCAAGTCTGAATAACCATAGTTTACTTAACAGCTGTTCTTTCAAATAAAAATGGTAGTCCATGAAAAATGTGAGCAATTTAGCTGGAAACTCAAATATGTGGAAGTATTTAATGCGTACTTCCTGATTTGTTACTCAGAATGTTAAAAGGACATTTACTCTCAAGGGTCAAGATTCAATAAAATTTACTGCTTCATCAAGGGCTTTCTAAAATAAAACTAGCTTAAAAAAATTTCACTGAGGGTGCTGGCAAGGAAGACTACAGTGCGCACTTGCCTTGATTCTGGCTGAGGAGGCAGGAGGTTGGCCCACCATGGCTTCCAAGTCATCAGTGCAAATGAAAAAGGGAAAAGCTTCTCAGTATCACTGTGGAAACAGCTCTGACCTCACGGGCTCCTGAAGTCCCAGGCATCTCTGAGCATCTGCAGACTAAACTCTGAGAACCACTTCTCCAGAACAATATGTGGCAAGTGGTGAAAACTCCGTAAATATTAGCCAGAAGAAGAAGAATAGAACATCACTGTTGTCACGATTACTACCACTACCGGTGTCACCACCAGCGACCCCATCAACGACATAGCGCCCACTACCAAGAAACGTAAAGCTGATTGCTCTTGACAGCTTTTAAGGAAGCAGATCTTTGAAATTAGAACTCTCCATTTATATTAAAATGATTAACTATTGTTATTAATAGAACATGTACTTACAGATGAGATTCCCATTGTTAAACACTTACCCCTAGACAGATAGAAATGGAAGGAGAGAGCTAGAAAAGACAGAGGAAGAGAGGACTAGGGAGGAGGTCAGGTAGGAGTGGAGGGGAGGCAGGAGAAAAGCAGGGGCAGAAGAGGACAGAGAAGAGGGCTGAGGCGGGGAGAGGGAGAGGAGTCACAGAGAGTGAACTGAGCAGCCAAGGGAAGGAAAACCTGGCCTGGGACCACTAGGCCAAGTGCAATAATGACCGCTTATGACAACACAATTCGCTGCTTTCAAACACAGCCCCCAGGCAACTGAAGTGGGGGCAGGGGTAAAATATACCACTCAAACCTGCCTGTTTGGCATAGTGATTATTTTAGGCTGATTCTTTTTAAGAAACAGCAGATACAGGGAAAGCTCTGAAAACTGAGTAGAAGTTACCCTTTTATGAGAAACATTTATATTTACAAGGGAAGCCTCCATTTGTAAGGGTGCCTCCCTCTTTGTAACAGGAAGAGGAGAATGCTGCTGTATTTTTAGAAACTTATCAGTGGAGAAGGTGGTCTGCACCATACCTTTGTTTACTGAGCTTTTCCTGGTCACCTCTAATAACTTGACTCTCCACCCCAACATCTTCTGGTCTTTAGCTGAAGATGGGATTGAAGGTGGTGGCTTGAACCACTTTGGAGAGTCATTCCGTTTTCCTGGGTCTTTCGCATGTATACAGGAGGTGTACATGTTATTAAACTTCTGTGTTTCTTCTGTGCATCTTGTTGGGCCCACTGACGTCCTTCAAAGTGCAATGACCCCCGTTCCTGGGCTCTCAGATGTCTGACATTCTTCGCGGAGCGTATTTCTCCTAACAAACTAATAGCCTCAGGTAATGCCCACCTTATCAGAGTCATAGACCCCACCGCCCTTCACAGACCCTAAACCTCTTTCCTCACCTACAACCAACCACAGACTTGCTCACAAGCCCATCAGGCACCTTGTGACCCGACCTTATAAAAGACCCCGACGTCCAGCCCTTGGGGCTCACGCAGGCACCCCACGTCTGTGTGGCCTGCTGTTGTCTATGACACCGCCCCCTAATAAACTCCTTTCTATTCTTATACTTAATCTCTGATAAATTCTTTTACCAACCCACGTCACCATGCCACCGACTGGCCGCCCACTGTAACACACAACACATCTGTCTTCTATCAATTTAATTATTAGACCAGTCAAAGGACCTAGAAGGGTAGAAGGAAAATGTTTTCACCTCCACAGGACCCTCAAGTGTAAGGTAGTTTTTGAAAACCAGTCCTTTGGGAAGTCCAGATGTTACAGGAAGAAGCTAAAGGCGTACACGCAAAAGGTATCTGAAGATACCAAAACACACAGGTGTGCGCGCAGCCTCCCCTCCCCCGCCCCCCAAGGACACATCACTTTCAAAGACTTTACCTCTTGATGATTAAAGCGCACAGATGAGGAAGAGATCAGCCTTATACACAGATATATATGCATCTACTCTCATAACACCTTGTCCTTAGTACTTTCCTCTTGCTGAGGGCCAGCGAAAACCCCATCACAAACCAACAATAATCTCAAGTGGTGACTTTTAGCCTCCTCCTTGCATTTGTTCAAAATAGCTCAAAGCTCATTTCTGGCTGTTCCTTTGTTAAGAAACCGTAATGAACTGTCAACACACCTATAGTTCATTGTCTCTGCTGTTTATTTCTTCTTATATGAATTTTGTTCTGTAAATTAGTCTTATATTTATACAGTGTTTCACCACCAAACTGTAAAGTTCATAATTTTGCAGAGAAAGAACTAGATAAGTGGCAATGGTGAGTCACCTCTGGATCAGACAGGACTAAGTGTTCCAGGGTAAAGATGACTCCTCTCAGTTCTTCATCTCTGTCTCTCATGTACGCAGATTCTCAGATCCTATCCATGAGTAGACACTCTGGGGGCAGGGTGGGGGGAGCCCAGTGATGCCTGTTTTAACAAGCCCTCCTGGTGTTCTGATAGTTTTGAGAATTGCAGCTACAGGCCAATAGCTTCATCCCATCACAGAAGATCACCTGCCTCTCAGTCTCTCACCAGCTTCAGGAAAGTGGAGATTCTGGGTAGATTGTGGCATAATGTTCAAAAGCAGCAAATATACAACTGTCAAACATTATGGTAGTTCAAAACCCCTTAGGATCTCTTATTTCTCTAGGACTCTGAGCATTAGTCCACTTAACGTCCTTATGGGGCCTTGGAAGAGCATTTGTACTGGAGGGACCATGTGAATGTCAACAGTGGGAGTGATCAGACCGAAATAACAAAAAAGTCCCTTATTATTCTCCTGCTGGTTGGCCACAGAGCTGAGAATCTGCACTTGTAGCAAGTTCCTGCAGGAAGCTGCTGCTGCTGTCCAGACACCGCACTGTGGTAACTACTGGTCTTTTACAGGGGTGGGCAAAATTGCTCCATAAAGGGCCAGGTGTAAACAGCTAAATATCTTAGATTTTGAAGGCCACATATGGTCTCCATTGCTGATTCTTCTTTGTTTTTTTTTTAGCAACCCTTTAAAAATACAAAAACTATTCTTAGCTTAAGAGTTATTAAAAAATATCAACAACAGGACTTTGCTGAGCTCTGGCATGCTGCAGAGAGGGGAGGTGCTTCCTGCTTCAGCTGCTGTCCTTCAGGGGCTGGA